TGCTGACATTAGCTCCTGTTTTGCTGACTTTAGCTCCTGTTTTGCTGACTTTAGCTTCAAGAATTCATTTTTCAAACAGTTTCAGTAGAAGTCTTTCAGCCCTCAGCCCTCACGCTGCAGTAATGATGACGACCTGTCCAGTTTTCTCTCCTAACCTGTTTTTACGAACAGGTCGGTTCTTACCCAGGGGTCGCTGGAGTTCAGGGCGTTTCGGAACCGGTCCATGCAGCCGTTCTGCAGGACCATCACTCCGACCAGTTCACCGCTGGCTGACAGCAGGAACAGCGTGATCGCAGTCAACATGCTGACCTCGTCCATGTCAGGTCTGGACTCGTCTACAGAAAACAGCAAAGCAACCAATGAAGACCCAAAACTAACGGACTTTGGTTCGTCGGCCATCTTGAATTGAAATAAAATTGATAAGTGACAAAAAGGCTCGAGTGTATGGTCGTGTGTTTACCCGGCTGCGAGTACTCGAGCGCGGATGCCAGGCTGCTCCTCACGAGGCCGGTCCACTGCGTCTGGATGCTCTCGGCCCGGGCCAACGGTGAGGTGATGATGGTTTTGATGCCCTGAAGCGCAGCCGATACCGGAACGGGCACAGAGGCGTCGGCTGTTTTGATCGCCGTTTCCCTCAGAACCCCGGTGATTAGGAAGAGCACTGTGGGCAGGATGGTCATGCCTCCTACAAAGACAAAAAAAAGTGAGACATGAGCCACCGTTTCACTGGCAGTAAACCTGTAGATTAGTGTTGGTTCGAGGTCTGCGTCGCTGCCGTTTGCTCCTGAGGCTTCTCACCAGCAGGAGAGCAGAGCGACGGCAGCTCTGCCAAGATGGAGATGGTGTTCGCCACCAGGCGTGCGCTTCCTTCCGGCAGCCTCTGAGGCCGGAGCGGCGCATGGCTGGGCGACTCCTTCACTCGTGAGTTCAGCTGCGGCACGTGGCGGACCACGAGGAAGACCAGCAGCTCCATGGCCGCGAACACCAGAGACTTGCCGGGGACGAGCTCCCCCGTGTCCCCCCCTTCCCCGAGGACGGGCTGACAGTCTTTTTCCCCTTCTTCCTCTTTGCCTGAGGGAAAAAATATAAAAATAAACGAGACTTGAACCAGACAAACTTGGATTCTTTGTTCAAACGAAGCTGAACGGCAACGGTTCCTGACCTCTGCGGGTTCTCAGTTGCTGCAGATGGTCCTGTGCAGCCCTGATGGTCTCCTGAACGACAGTGGTGACCTGGAGCTGGACACCGGGGGGGTCCCGGGTCAGCAGCAACCTGTGGAGCACGTTCAGGAGCTCCACCGCCAGCAACTGCAACAGGGAAACAACAGCTACAAGACCAGGTATAAACAGACCAAAAAAAACATCTGGATTCTACGTTAAGTGTAATTTTCCTGCCGCCAGGAAAGGAAGGAGATAATGTGGTTAATGGTGCTTGTTTGTCTGCCTGTTAGCAAAATATCTTACAAACTAATAGACAGATTTTAATGAAATTCTCTGAAATAAATCCCAATATAATCTTTAACCATAGCAAACACAAAAATACCAGTGGCCCAGTAACCTTTAAAGATACTGAGCTATGGTTTAGTGTGGTAGTAGCTGAGAGTCATCCTCACCACGTACCCTCGGCGCTAACATGTAGCGTATAACCCTTTTTAAAAAAGTTTTAATGCAAGGCGGAAGAAAATATGCATTTCTTAAAGATATGCTAGGCTAAATATTCAGAAAACTTTCAGATTGCAAGAAAACAAAAATTAAAGTTTTTATTTTTTACTTTTCAAAATTGAAAGAGAACAAAGTTCAGGATGTGTTTATATCCACGCTTTTTTTTTTTTTTTTTTTTTAATATCAGCTGAAATGTTCAGATCCTTTAACACATCTTGGACACATC